TAATTTTTGATAACATTCAAATGCTTCATCAAAGCTATCAGGTTTGTTTACTATTTTTATTCTATTTTTTATCTTTAGATTACAATAACCACTCTCTATTCTATTAATTAATGTTCACATATCTCTTAGCACATTTATCTTTTTGATTAATAAGCTCAGAATCTTTATGTTCACAAGCTTGTATTAATCTATTAAATAAATCTATTCAATTACATTTCTATAAGCTAAAATTTTAATTCTTATTCTATAGGGACATGAAATTTATATGATTAGTATAATTAAACCAAAATTACACTAAGTCGCATAATTTTATATCATTTATATTATATCAATATTATATATATACATTTTATATTTTTATTAGAAATGTTATTCAGCCTAATTCTTTTTTTTTTGCTTAGTAAATATCATTAAATTTTACTTTTAATTTTTAATCAATAAGTTAAATATTTTATATATATTGCACACATATAATTTACGTATAAATTCTGTATTATTTTCTAAGATTCATATGTTAATATCAAGTGAAAAGATATTATTTAACTAATATAGATTATTTTTAAATAAATTAAAATAGGCTTTTATGCTTTTATTAAATAATCATATAAATAAAAAACAATTTTTAAATTAATTTAGTTTTCAAATATTTGTATTTTAAGCAAATATAATAGTTTTATTTTATATTATAAAATAACACTAAATTACCAAGACTTTATATACTATCAGTATTTCTAATTTTTTTTTTTTTTAATATTTAGAGGAGTACTCTGGGTGTAGCACCCACCCAAACTTATTTATTAATATTTAAATAAATTGACATATGATGGTGCTATAAACACTAAATATTATATATAAGTATTGAAACTAGGATATCAAGCATACAAACTATTTATCTATAGCTAAAACCCACCAGAGCCGTCACACTCTCACACATGTGATTGAACTTGTTTTTGTACTTCCTTCCCTAACTGCTAATTAGTATTCACATATCCGCACATTACCTATATAACCTACTATCTTAACTCCCAAATCAGTGTATGTTACTTCAGGTAGGTGCTTTTTGTTTCCGGTTTGATGTGCTTGATAGAGAATTCTCTTAATCCCTACTGGCATACTTTCTAGAAGTTCGTAACTCAAGCCATGCAGCTGCCTCTACCCAATTGGGTAAGTATCTCAAGCCTGCATACTGCTGTAACTAGCTAGATTTCCTGCGACTTTGGGACCCAGGTTTTAACATTGCGAATTCGACGATGTGCGAACGACTGTACTTCCCAATATGGTGACAAGGAGTTCAGACATGTTTCATATATACTTCCAGTACCAAGTATAGTTAGGTGGCATCATGAGGCCTAGAGGTTCTTAACAAGTGCATCATCATTTTCTATTTATAGTGATTCTTAGTAGTTGTAGCCTCCAGTTATCACTGCATGCACTTATATCAGCTATTCTGATATTGGTGGGTCCCGAGTCCTCTTAACATCTGAAGACTCCCATACAGGTGCGACCATTGCCCATTGGGTCTATTTATACGTACACGCCTCCATGTTTCAGCCTCTTATTAGCTAGAGAGATCTATACATGCCAGAGGTGTTCCAAATCTGGTAAGGCTAATTCTTTACCATAGATCCCTTTGTGTTCACTACTTTTCTTACCATTCCAGTTCTAATTACTGCCCAGTTATCCTCCCAACCAAGATCCCAATACCGCTTTAGGGTTGTTGGTGCTACCTATGCCAACTGAGGATTTACACGCACAACCTTTGTGTAATAGAACCTTCTGTAACAACTGCTATTACACATAGTACTGACTATAGATGCTGGTGAAATTAATTTTACCAATTTCACCAATTCACTACCAATTTCACCAATAGTGGTGAAATTATTTCACCACATTTCACCATATTTCACCAGCATCTATAGTACTGACTTCTCCACAATGGACCTCTTTCCAGAAATTCCTAATCCAGACTTGTACTCACTTGGGCTTCCCACGATAAGTATATTCAAATATTCATAGAATCCGTATCTACTAGGACTTGAACCTGAAACCTGCTCGTGGAAGGTTGGGTGCCTAGACCACTAGGCTGCGGGATACCAACCCCCAGTATTTCTAATTTTTAATAAATAAACTACAGTATAGTAAAAGATATTTACTATTTTATAATCACCAAGAATTTCATTTAACCTTCATAACTACAACAAGATTTGTTTGTTTATTGTATAAATTTTAAAATGAATCTTTAATGAAACCATCTCTAGTTCTACAAAGAAGCATTATCTAATTATAAAATAAAATAGGTTAAATTTTTTTTTTACTATATAATAAGAAATATAAGAAATAGCTACTAACTAGTACTTGGATATATATTCTAGATTTTCAATATAGACAATTGAATAATTTTCTCTATCTTCTATTGAAATTACCATTTGTTTTTTTTCTGATTCTCTTTCAATACTATAAGAAATATCATATTTTTCAAACGAATTAATGATCATATCAGCTAGAATATCATTCCTGCTTCAACTATCTATTGACAGATAAGATTATAAGGAGGTTTTTTTAAATTTCCTTCTTTTGTAAACTCAAAACTGCCAACTACTATTTAGTTTTGCTATTTTTTTTACATTCGGTCCTTAAATAGCTTATTGATACACACATCAAGAGGCTGAACTAATAAAGTAAGTCTACTGGAAATTATATCTCTAACCATGTTTAATTCATTATATTTTGCCTTAACAGAATCAGTAAAATATCCTTTAAAAGAATTCATCACTAATAAGCTATGTTTTTGTTTATAGGTTGAAAACTTTTTTCTATTTATTAAGATTTTATCCATTTATTTGTTTTGATAATGATACCCAAGAGAAAAGGACCTCTAGAATATCTTTTGTCTTTGAAAATTATCATGGAAGGAAGTTTAGCTCTATTGGCCAAAATTGCAAGAACATATATAAACTGATTTTTTTCATTGTCTGTAGTTCTTATTTGAACTATTTTTGCTAAACAATAATCTATGATAAGATTTTCAACCATGTTAGTATTTTATCCATATTGGCAATACAGAATAATTCATAGTTATTTATATATTGTGACTTTTTAATAAATTCATAAAAATGATCTAATTGTTTAGCTAAGTTATAAAGAAGTTTTTGCTCAAGTTTTGTATAGTGCCGAAATACAAGTTTATATCTATTTATAAATCTCTGGCACCAACTATTTGAAGCTTTAAAAGTTTCTAAAACATTAGGATATTCTTGTTGAAAACTAGTTCTAAGAAGCTCTTTTATTTTAAGTTTTATTGTAAACAATGATACTATAAGACCATCTTAATATAAACAAACAACCCACTAATTTAATACTTCTTCT